CGAGGCCCAGGGCGCGCGCGACTTCCGCGCGGCTCCGGAAGCGGCGGCCGCCGCCGTCGTAGTAGTAGATGTCCGACGTGCCCGCCGTGCTGCCCTCCTTGCGGACCTCGATGGTCGCGGAGAACCTGGGCGCCGCGCGCGGGGGCGGCTTCCGGCCCCGGAGGCGCGCGCTCCGGCGACGCGCCGCGCGCCCCGGCGCGGCCCGTCTCGGACGGGCCGTCGCCTCGCGCCGCGACGGCGAGGCGCGCGCGCGCGCCCCTCGGCGGTCGATCGCGCGGCCGCGCCCGTCGCGGCGCGAAGGCGAACCACCTGCGCGCCGCGCCGCGTTCGCGCGTCGCGAGCACGCGGCCGCCGTCGCCGCCGCACGATGCCACGTAGTCCGCGAGGGCCGCGAGCATGGCGGCGATGCGCTCGTCCTCCGTCGCGTCCTTGCGGAGCCGGGCGACCTTGGGCGGCCGCTTCTCCGCCGAGCCCGCCGGCGGCGGCGCCGGCGCGCGGGCCGCGGCCGCGCCGCGCGGGGGCAGCGCCTTGAAGGCGCCGCGCACGTCCTGGACGACCGCGACGAGGTCGCCGCCGGCCACAACCGCGCCGGAGAGGCGCGCCCGGACCGCGAGCTTCTTCGACGCGCGCGCGGCCGGGCGCCGGCCCGCCGCCTCGGCCTGCGGAGGCGCGCCTCGGCGGGGCCCCGGCGGGCGACGCGCGCACCTCGGCGTCGCGCAGGAGCGCCCAGAGGCCGCCCGCCTCCTTCTTGGGGATCGCCGCCGCGCCGGCCGCGAGGCGCTGGAGGCGGTCGCGCAGCCGGGCGAGCCCGCCGCCGTCGTCCGGCGCCTCGCCGCGGAGCGCCGCCGCGCATGCGCGACGGCGCGCCGCGTCGTCACGCGCCTCCCCGGCGCCGGTCGCCGCGGCGAGCGCGTCGCTCGCCGTGCCGAGCGCGATCTCCAGCGCCTCCAGGCAGCGCTTCGCCCCGAGGTGCACGACCTGCGCGCGCGCGGCGGCTCGCCGCGGCGCGCGCGCGCGCGCGGCGCTGGTCGCCGCGCGTGGTCGGCGTCGTAGTTGTACGCCGTGGCGTTGTCGAAGACGCGCCGCATGTCGCGCACGAACGCGGCGTGGAAGGATCCGGGCGCGTCGTAGCGCCCGGCGGCCGCGCGCGACCTGCGCGTCCCGCGTCGAGCTTGGGACGCGGGGCCGGACGCCGGGGCCCGGCTGGATCGCCCGCAGGTCCATGGGACGTCGGATGACGTCCAGGTAGTCGGGGCACCCGTCGCGCTCGGGATCCACCTGGCGGGACGGCTCGCGGAGGCCCCGAGTTCGAAGCGCGCGGGCGACGCGCGGGCTCGGCGAACCAGGCGTGCTCCGGCACGGCCCGGATCCGTTCGAGGACGTAGTCCGCGCACTGGCGCGAAGCGGGGGCGCCGTCGCGCAGCTGCTGCGCTCGCTTGAGCTCGGCCGCGACGAGCTCCGCGCCCGCCTTCGCAGCGGTGTACCCTACCGCGGGCTGCTTCTCGGCGCGCGATGGATCCGACGCCTCCGAGGTCCGCTTCCGCGAATCGCGGTACGCCGCGGAGTGCGGCGGGTCCCCCCGTTGTCCGCGCAACCGCGACACGGGGACGTCGTCGTCGCTGTCGTCGCTGCCGCCCATAATATTATTTTTTTTTGCAAGTTGGTTTGCGTGGATATCAAATAACTAATTTCCCCCCCCCTAAGCTAGACGGGTTCCGGGGCCAGGAGTGGATGGGGGGTAGTCATCCTGCACGGGTAGGAAAAGGTCTGTTGATTCCTTCCGGCAGGTGTATTCGCTTCGACCTGGGAGGGGTGCGCGGTGAGTTCGAAAGTATAGAGATAGAGAGATTTCTACCTTCATCTTCCGTGAACTGCATCTTGATGTTGCAGTGCACCTTACCCCACTGCGCTCCTACTGCGTATTCCTGCTAGTTTTCCCTTTCCCTTCCTTAATTCATTCTAATCCAGTTTCAAGTCTTATAGACAGCGAACTGAAGGAGTGACTGCCAAGCAGGCACAGAGAGCATAGCGCTTTTCTGTGTCTGTGGTGTCTGTCTGGTTAGCGTCACAGCGACGTGCCAGATAGCACCAGGCTCAGCGAGGTTGCACAGTCGCCGGACAGTGCACCTGCTGGATAGTAGTTTGCTGACGTCATAGCGACTCGGACGTTAGGAAGCTAGTAAACTAGCCATGAGGCATACCCCCAATTTTTTTTTTTCAGCGACCGACCACACCCTTCTACGATTATACACATGTGAGCTGCATGAGGCGTCTCAGACCGTGGTAACCAGCCCACGGATCTAACAAGTAACCCTGCCGGTCGACTATGACCGAGTTCGATCGTTCCATCGACGTGCACTGGCAGCCGAAGCGCATACGCGTGCCACAGGGTTGCCAGCACAGAGCCTGACAACACTAGTGCGCACGAGCCGGAACACAACGCGGACTGCCTACTGGAACCTAGGCCCCGCGATTCCCCCTCCCGAGAGAGAGGGGGGCAAATGTATAAGGGAAACGTCGCGAGCTGCGAGCTATCGGTCACTCGGGTCACTCGTTGAGATTGAGGTTGACCAAGTTATTGAAGGGGGTGCGCGCCCGACTGCGTCCGTCCGGGGAGGGGAGGCAGGTCCGCGGAGGGACCCCCCCCAGGAGGCAACCAGAGGTTGCCCCTAATTGCGCAATGCTGCCCATAACACCGCGCGCGCGGCGGCTCCGCTGCCGGCCAGGCTCGCGCGAGGCCGCCGCGCTCACCGCGAGGCCGCCGCGCTCACCGCGAGGCCGCCGCTAGCGACCGGTCGTTGCGCTGGGCGTTCTCCTCCTCGTTCGACCTCCGCAAGGCCGCGCGCGAGCAAAAAATCATAATGCGTAGTAGGGTGCGCGCTGCCCTGGCCGGCATCCTCGGGCTCCTGGCACTCGCGCACGTCTCCATCTACCGCGCGGTCCGCGAGTCGCCGCCGCTCCTCGCGCCGCCGCTCGCGCCGCGCGGCCTCGAGGGGCCGCCGGGCGGCGCGGCGGCGCCGCGGCGCGAGCCCGGCGCGCGGCGGCCGGGCGCGCGCGCGGGGCCGCTTTCGCGCCGTCCGGCGCCGCGGTCGCCGGCGCGCTCGGCGCCGAGGCCGCGGCGCTGCGGCGGCGCTACACGCGGAACGCGTCCTTCCGCGTCGGCGCGGCCGTCGCGCGCTTCGCGTTCGACGCCGTCGGCTACGCGCCGCCGCCGCGGACGACCGCGCGGCCGCGGATCCCCGCGGCGATCACGAACCGGTCCTTCGACCCGGACGGCCTCCGCTGCGCGTCGGCGGCCGCGCCGGGCGCCCGGGGCGGGTCCGCGGTCTCCGCTCGAGCGCGCGGCCGTCGGTCGTCTCGGGGCGCGCGGCCTCGCGTCGCGCGCGCTCCCCGCGGGGACGGGTCGCCCGAAGGCGAGCCCGGGCGAGCGGGGGGGGGCGCCGCGCCGGGCACGCCCGCCCCGCGCCGCCCAGGTTCGTGACCGTGCTGGGCACCAAGGGCGCGCCGGGCGACTACGCGATGGCCGTCGAGTCCGCGCTGCGCATCCCGGACGCCTTCCGCCTCGCCCGCGTGTACCCGCACGTCTACCTCCACGAGCCCGACCTCCCCGCGGCCCACGCGGCGCACGTCGCCGCGCGCGTGCCGCACGCGGTCTTCCGGAGCCTCGGGGCCGTCTTCCGGCGGCCCCGGGGCACGCCGCCGGAGGCCGCGTGGGTCGCGCGGGACCGGTCGCCGGGCTACAAGACCATGTGCCGCTTCTACGGCCTCCAGGTCTTCGGCGCCATGCGCGACCTCGGCGTCGACGCCTTCATGCGCGTCGACGACGACGTGCTCTTCCTCGGCGCCGTGGCCTACGACCCGTTCCAGTGGATGTACGAGGCGGGCGCGGTCTACGTCTACGGCACGGCGGTGAGGGAGGACCACGACGTCACGGAGCGGACGCTCGGCGCCTGGGTCTTCGAGTTTTGCGCGGGCATCGACTGGGGGTGGACCAAGGTCGACTGCGGCGCGCTCCGGGACGACGTCTTCGGCCGCATGTTCTTCAACAACGCCGCGGCCGGCGCCGACGCGGGGCCGCGGCGCGCGCCGCGCGCGATCGTCCCGGGGGGCGGGAGCGCCGCGCCGAGGACGCGCCGGGGCGCAATCGCCCGTCCGAACGCGCGCCGGGGCGGGCGGCGCGCGGCCGGGCGGCGCGCGGCGCGGACGCCTCGCGCGCCCAGGTCATGGCGACGCGGACCGCGTTCTGGTTCGAGGCGCCCCTCGAGCGCCTCCTCTGGGAGATCGACCGCACGGGCTCCATCTACGTGCACCGCTGGGGCGACGCGCCGATCCAGACGGCCGCGGTGCGGCTCTTCGCGCCGACGACGGCGCACGCGCGGCTCCCCGTGCTCTCCTACGTCCACCTGAGCGGCAAGGACTACGTCGAGTACGGCGCGCGCGCGGCCTGCGGCGACCCGGGGGCGGCCTGCTCCTTCGAGGCCCGGGTCGCCGCGTCGGACGTCCTCGGCCGCGCGGCCGTGCTCGGCGGCCACGGCGCGCGCGTCGCCGCGGCGCACGGGCCGCTCTGGACGCGCGAGCTCCTCGCGCTCGGCGACTGGGCCCCCTGGGGCGGCGCCGACGCCATCGGGGGCCTCGGCGGCGCCGGGCTCCTCGACGTCGTCCTCCGCGGCGCGGGCGTCGTCTGCGAGGGCGGCTGGCGCGTCTTCGACGCGGCGCGGGCCCCCGCGCGCGGCGGCGCGCGCCGCGCGGCCGACGGCGCCGCGCCGCCCCGCAGGCGCTCGTGCCGCGCGCGTGCTGCTGCGGCCTGGCCGCGGGCGCGCGCGAGCGCGGCGCGAGCGAGGACCGGTCCGTCTTCTCCGCGGCCGACGTCCTCGACGGCCGCGCCGCGCGGCTCTACGCGCGCCTCGCGCGCGCCCTCGACGCGCGCCTCGGCCGCCGGCGGCTCCCGCCGCGGCGGCCGCCGGCCGCGGCGTCGCCGGGCGCCGCCGTCAACGCGTTCCTCGGCAGCGAGCGCACGGGCAACACGTTCCCGGGCGCGACGCTGCCGCACGGCATGGCCCAGCTCTCGCCCGTCGTCCTGCCGCCGGCCGGCGCGGGCTGGCGCGAGGCCTGGCGCTACAACAGCGGCTACCACCGCGCCGGGGGCGCGGCCGCCGCGCGCTTCGCCGGGCTCGGCCACACGGCGCTCTCCGGCACGGGGCTCAACGCCGGCGGCGACTTCCTCCTGACGCCCTGCGACGGCGTCGGCGCCCTCGTCCACGCGACGGAGGACGCGTCGCCGGGCGCCTACGCCGCGACGCTCGTCTGCGCCGGCGGTCTCCCCTACCGCGTCGACGCGGTCGCCGCGCTCCGCGGCGGCCTCGCGCGCTTCTCCTTCGGCGCCGGCGCGCCGCGGCGGCTCGCGCGCGCGCCGCGCCATCCGGGCCGCCGCCGGCGCGCGACGCGCCGCGCGCCCCGCCCAGGTCGTGCGCCTCGAGTCGCCGCTCGACCGCCTCGTCGCCGGCGACGTCTGGGCGGACCCGCGGACGCCGGGCGCGCTCTCCGCGTACCGGACGAGCAACAAGACGCACCACTGCGGCGCGCGGCGCAGCGTCTTCTGGCACGCGACCTTCGACCCGCCCTTCGCGGCGTCCGCCCGCGGCGCGGCGCGCGCGACGACGGAGCTCGCGTGGCCGCCGGGCGTCGCGTCCGTCGTCGTCCGCGCGTTCGTCAGCCACCACGACGCGCCCGGCGCGCGGCGCAACGCGGCCGCGGAGGCGCCGGACTTCCGCGACGCCGCGCTCCACCGGCGGCTGGCCGCGTTCCGCTGGGACGACGTGCTGTCGCGCGTCCGCGTCGCGCGCGCGCGCCGCGCGCCGCTCGCGGACCGCGTCCGCTTCTACACCGCGCTCTACCACGCGCACCTCGGGCCGACGCTCTTCGGCGACGCGGCCGACGGCGGCTTCAAGTGGGGCGGCGAGGGCTTCCCCTTCGGCCGCGCGCGCGAGGGCCGGCTCCGCGTCTTCCACGCGCAGCGAGGCGCCGGCGCGGCGGCCGGCCCGCGCGCGCGCGCACCGCGGGCCCCCGGCAGGTACTCGACGTTCAGCCTCTGGGACACGTACCGCGCGCAGCACCCGCTCCTCAACCTCCTCCACCCGCGCCTTGCGCGCGACGTCGCCGAGAGCCTGCTCCTCAAGGCCGAGGACGCGGAGCACTCGACGGTCGAGTCGCTGCCGCGGTGGCAGCTCTTCGGCATGGAGACGTTCTGCATGCGACGCCGCCCGCGCCCGCGCGCCGGCGCGGCGGGGCCGCGGGACGCGCGCGCGCGCGCGCAGGTCCGGCTACCCGGGCGTCATCGTCCTCGCGGACGCGGTGCTCAAGAACGTGACGAACTTCGGGCGCGGGGCCCGGCCCGACGGCGTGCCCGAGCGCGCGCTGCGGCAGATGGCGCGCACGGGCGCCGCGGAGCCGCACGTCAACGCGTCGACGTGGATCCCCGCGGGCCGCGCCAAGGCCGTGTCCCACGCGCTCGAGGTCGCCGTCGCCGACGCGTGCGCGTCGCGCGTCGCCGCGCGGCTCGGCGACGCGCGGCTCGCGGCGACCTACGCGGCGCGCGGCCGCGCGTACGCCGCGTACTGGGACGCGGCCACGTCGGCCTTCCAGGGCCGCACGGCGGCCGGCGCCGTCGTCCGCAAACGCCTCGACGCCTACGACGCGACGGGCCACGGCGGCGAGTCGCTCTTCGAGGAGGGCACGCCGCTCCAGTACTCGCTCATGGTGCCCCACGACGTCCCGGGCCTCGTGGCCCTCTTCGGCGGCGCGGCGCGGCTGCGCGCGCGGCTCGAGCGCTACTTCTTCAACTCGACGTCCGACGGCGGGCCCGACGCGCCCGTGGACCTCGAGACGGGCTACGTCGGCGGCCACTGCCACGGCAACGAGCCCGGCCACCACGCGCCCTACCTCTTCAACGCCGCCGGCGCGCCGCACCGCGCGCAGGCCGCGCTGGACCGCATCGCGGCCCTTTACACGGCGCGCGACGACGGCCTGCCCGGCAACGACGACGTCGGCCAGACGAGCGCGTGGTTCGTCTGGGCCTCGCTCGGGCTCTACCCCGTCGACCCCTGCGGCGACCACTACGAGCTCTCGAGGCCCCTCTTCGCCGACGTGTCCGTCGACACGGGCGCGGGGCGGACGCTCCGCATCGTCGTCCGCAACGCGGGCCTGCCCTACGTGCGCGCCGCCTTCTGGGGCGAGACGCGGCTCGCGTCGACGCGCGTCCCCGTCGCCGACGTCCACGGCGGCGGCACGCTCACCTTCGTCCTGGGCCTCGAACCGGGCGACTGGACGCGGTACTAGGAATTCCTAGCCCGCTCGAGCTGGGATGCCGATTTTCGGGCAAACTCGCCAGCTCGCTCTGGTTTCCGACAACTTTGGGAAGCTGTTACCAGTCGGACCGTTGCGAAGGCATCGTATTCGGACCGTCGTTTTCGTCGTTTTTTTCGTCGAAATTCGCCGCTTCGACGGTCGTTCCATGCTGCCCCGACGCATAGGGCCGTCGCTACGGGTATGCCCCCCTCTCTCTCAAGAGGGGGAATCGCAGGGCCTAGGTTCCAGTAGGCATTCTGCATGTCCTCCTGCTCGTGCGCACTAGAATTGTCCGGTTTCTAGTCGGTCAACCCTGTGGCACGCGTATGCGCTTCGGCTGCACGTCGATGGAGACAGTCGAACCCGGTCATAGTCGACCGAGTGGACATCTTGTTAGAACCGCGGGCTGGGTACGGCGGTTCGAGACGCCTCGTGCGGCTCACATATGTTCGTGTGGTCGGTTTCTGAAAAAAAGAAAAAGGCGGGGGGGGTGGGGCGGTGGGGGGCGTGGGTGGAGTTGGCGCTGCTCGCTTCGGGGATGTTGGGTTACGAGACGCTGGGCGGGGTGGTGTATGCCTGGTGGTCGTCCCCCTCTGGAATGCCGTCTCCGCGGGATTCGCGTGGGTCGGCGGCCGGTCCGTGCTCCGGCTCGCCGACCACGAGCTCCTTCTCGAGGTTTACGAATCGAGATTTACGAAGCGCCTATCCCCACTCATCTCCTCCTTTGAGATTTCGCCATCCCCACTCACGTCGAAGATGTCGAAGAGCATGTCGATCTCGCGCGGCGTCGGCGCGCGCCCCCTCGCGCTCTCGACGAGCGCGGCGAGGTCGTCGCGGCCCAGCGCGCCGCCTCGGCGCGCGAGCGCCCCCCCGGCGTCGCCCGCGCGCGCCGTCGCGTCGGGGATCCTCAGAG